TATATATATATATCTATATTTTTAAATTATAGTCTTCCATTGTGTGAAAGCATTTGTCATTAATACATTTCGATTTCAAGCGACATGTATTTCTTAATAATTCTTACAAAATATGAACTTCTTACGAGATCTTGTCAAAATATCGGAACATTTGCGTATAATATTGATCTACGCAGACGTCATTATTACGCAAATAATGATATCTTAATTAGAATTTATACTTACTGCGATACAGAAATCAATTAAGACGCACAATATTTAGATACATTTTTAATTTTAATAATAAATTCTAAAGTTTACCAATATATATTAGTAGAAGTAAAATCATAACTTTTCGCTTAGAACGTCCCATTAGAAATCAAAGCATTAAATATTAAATTATTGAGAACAAAAAGAGATAGATTATATTATGTCAGCTAAATAAAAGGGGTCGATTATATAATATGTATCTTGAAACGAGATGAAAATGGCAAAAGTGAGCGAATTTGCTAGGATATTTATAATTTTATTGGTAAACACATATAGTAAATTTATTCACGTCTGTAATTTTCATCTCGTTTCAATATATATAATCAACTCTCAGATGTGTGAAATAATAATTTTTTAAATAACTTCCAGGTCGGAGAATATCCAAGTTTCAACACGATGCTTTTTATAGATTTTTCAACATATTTTTTTCGTACAATTTAAAAAATAATTTAAATCGCGATTATCTTTTTTACCAGATTTAATTAAAATTTTTAAAAAATTCAAAACGACGCGACATGCCCGCATTCAAAACGAAAATCGTCTGTATACGTGAAACAACGTCTCTAATTTCGGTATATTTCTTCCCGCAGGTGCGAGATAATCGGGATAAAATTTTAGCGATACGCGCTGTCTACGTTGGACTCAGATTTTCGATGATCTCAGAGGAAGAAACGTCGACTTGATTCGTGCGTGTGAAAGCCGAGGACTGGGCTCGGTGACAATTTCGTGTCGCTTTGTACATAGCCGCCGACGTCGGCGTCGCGACCGCCGGCGACGCCCGTCGTAGCCGCCGTCGATGCTGACGGAGCCGCCAGGCAATCGTACTTTCTATTAATTTCTTTAATGCACTCGGCCAATCGATGTTTTATCGTCGCATTGAAATCTCCGCCGACGAGATGGCTGCAATCGTAGGCGAAAGTACATACAAAGATGTATGTGAGCTAACAAAGATACAAAGAAGCATCAAAACCACCGCCGTCGCCGCCGTCGCCGTCGTTGCCGCCGTTTATGCGTCGTCTAGCCGCCAATGCGTATGCGAAATTTCTCTGCAGTATACAACGATCCTTCTCCTGAGGACACTTTTCGTGTTGACGATGCGCCACGCCCACGCTTTTACTTAATTCACATCGTAAACTACATTTGCCGCATGCGGTTTTTTGCGAGCGTTAGATCTGGCCGATGATAAATTAAAAAAGGAAACTTAATTAAATTGCGCAAATAAATTGTAATTTCCTAAGTGGTCGAACTTTTCAATTACAAGGAATTCTGTGCGATAGATATATTTCTGCGAAGCGTAAACTGATTAACACGATCCTTTTAATTTTCTTTTTATTTACACAAAATATATATACGTTTTTATAATGTAGAAATATATATGTATATAATAATGTATATATGATCATTTACAATATGTAATATTATTTCATGAATTTCGGACACAGCGTCATTTTGTCATTTTGACCAAGGAGTGATCTAAAACAACAACAGGTATTTCTTTAAGAATAAGAGAACGTGGAATGCCAGAATATTTAACAAAAAGCTCCAAAAAATGAAGATTAGTAGCCCCTTCAGTTTCTGCATCACTTCCCGCTTTTATACTGAAAAAAACATTCCCGCGTTAGTATTACCTATTTCAAGCAATGTTGTATTGTTATATACAATATTAAGATTAGAAAATTATGCTTACCTCTCTACAGTGACAAACGACAGGACGTACATGCAAAGATATTTTACGTAACGATTCATCACAGAAATGTGAAATTGACGAAGAATCGTTTGTATTCCTATGGCAAATACTACAGCATCAACGGAATCTTGATATTTCTTGCTTAACAGACTTGCTACAATAAGTCAAATGTTTGTAAACATTATTTATTTTATTACAGATGTAATTATATATATATATAAAACGATATAATTATACCTGTATTTTTGCAGTAGAATAATTTATTCAATTGCGACACTGTAAATAGGAAAATAATAATAGCTATATTATCTATCTTTGGTGGCTTGATATAAACTTTGTTATGTGGATCACTGATGCCAGCCCAGTCCAATCGCACGCTAAGTTCATGAAGTAATTCGCTTTTCTCCGGCTCAGTTTCATTGTTGATATTATCTTTTTTCGCTATTTCGCATAAAACGGCTCTACAAAAGAATTAAAAAAGAATTAAAAGAAATCGCAAAATTGTAAATTAATTTCTACGTACGTATTCAATGTTCGAAGCGCTGCTTCCATATGCTTAGCTTCAAATTTGCACGCAGTGTTTAGTTCATACGCTATTTTTTTCCTCAGTAATTGGTAGTGACCTATTTTTAATGCCCACTCAAGCGCTGATGACCACAATTTACTACTGCTAGCGTTTATAGAATTGTGAAGTTTCGTAATGTTACCTAAGGCACATACGCGATACTTTATATAAATACATGTTAATTATCTTTATTTTTGTTATATGTATATATTTTTCTAATGCGAATTCTTACTTTTAGCACTATCTAAAGAATTTAAAGTGGTCTCACAATCTTCTAACAACGATAACCACGTTTTGTTCCGTATACTCTTTTCTATATAGTGAACTAAAGCTTCCAGTTCTATGACAATGAAGAAGGAGATAAGCTTATCTAGTCCCGATAATCCTGGCGTGCCTATCGTTTCTAATATCACCGAGAAAACCTTGTAATTTAAGACCTCATTCTGTGTTTTAATGTCATACCATGCTAGAGAATGTTCTATGTACACAATGGTTCTGAAAAGACATAAGCCGGTTAGAGATGTAGTACAATTTTTTTATAAAAGCGAAATCGAAATACAAATAACGTAATACCGTGGATCAGTAATACGGATAAGCTCTCTGGCAAGTCTACCCATGAATGTTAAAGAGCTACTATCGGTTGAAAAGGGGTACTTATCTTCTTGAAATTGTCTCCATGATTTTCCTGGCACCCAGGAAGAGCCCATACGTTCTTCTTCGACTGCATTGTTTATAATATATGTGATCTAAGGATGCGCATATTTAGAAT